TTTGACCATTTAATATGATATTGGCTGTTGGTTTTTCATAGATGGCTTTTATCAGATTGAGGTAGAGACTGTCTATTCCAATTTTTTGTAGGATTTTTATCATAAATGTATGTTGGGTTTTGTCAAATGCTTTTTTTGCATCTATTGAGATGATCATATGTTTTTTGTCCTTGGCTCTATTGATATAGTGTATTACATTGATTGATTTTCATATTTTGAAGCATCCCTGCATCCCTGGGATGAATCCCACTTGATCAGGGTGTATGATCTTCTTGATAATCTTCTGTATTCTATTTGCCAGTATCTTATTAAGGATTTTTGGATCTATGTTAATTAGGGAGATTGGCCTATAGTTCTCCCTTTCGGTTGAGTCTTTCTCTGCTTTGGGGCTGGAACCCATTTTAATCATTTTAATCCTTATTTACAGTTTCAGTTTCTCACACTAGAGAAACTATTTGGGGATTTACACATGTCTGTCCTATTTATTTCACTTAAGAGTATGGTCTCAATATGCATCTATTTAGCTATAAATGTCTCTAGTTTCTTGTTCTTTATGGTTCAGTATTACTCCATTTTATAAAAAAAACACCACACTTCGTAAGTGTTTTTGACAATCCAATTTGCGTTGTGGACTGGGCTTTTAGTAGGTCATAGTGACCACAAAGTTGACAGACATGGCACTGTGTATAGATTTGGCAGCTGTTTTTCCCATAGTCTGGCTTTAAAAAGATAAGTACTTATTTCATTTTAGTTTTTTGAGACAGGGTCTCACAATGCAGCTGGCCTTGAACTCACTATGTAACCCACGCTGGCCTTGAACTAATGGTGATCCTCCTGCCTCAGCCTCCTGGATGCTGGGATTACAGGGGTGTGCCACCACACCTGACAAAAGATATCTTTTTAAAACATGATTTTGAAACATTAACACATCATGCAATTTTTGGTTAGAAAATGCAAATCATAATTCGTCTTGTGTTTGTGGGAGAAGCAACGATAAAAACTACTTTATGATGATGTTGGAGTTGACAAGGAAAACTGAACGTTGTGGCATTATTCTTTCCATAATTTCTGATGTGGTTAGGGCAGGTGTTTCGTTACTGTGGTCTGTGTGGTTTCTTTTAAGTTATATTATTTGAAAAACAAACTGATGGAATTAAGCAGTGAGCATCCAGAGTTTTGTCCTGAATGGAGCCTGTAAGCAGCCACCCTCCTCAGTTTCATGTTCCAGAGTCAGATTGACTGGCAGTGTCAGTCAGCTTTCCATGATGGTGGCACTCCAGAGACGACGAACTTACGAAGGGAAAAGTTGGACTTGGCCCTTAGCTTTGGAGGTCCCTGTCCTTGCTCAGTGACCCTGTTGCTTGGGCCTGTGGTGAAACAACACATCATGGCAGAAGTCAAAGCAGAGTGGACCACATACCTCATGGCCAGAAAGCAGAAGAGAAGGAGAAAGAGACAGGGTCCCTAGGTACCTGTTGGGGGCACATCCCAGTGACCTAAGGACTTTCCACAAGGCCAGGTGCTCAAGGTTCCACCTCTCCTCCCTGCAGCATTGTCCTGTGGACCTGTGGGGGCACATTTGGGATCCAAACTACAGCACTAACTGTATTTGTCAGTTCAGACCAGGTGTGCTGGGGTAGCGAGCACCACCTGAATCATAGGAGCATGTTAGCAATGGTCTGTTTCTGGCCCGTGCCGTATCCTGTTGGAGCTCAACAGATGGACTGCAGTCTGTGTCTGCATTGCCACCATCGCACCTTCTTAGCAGGAGGCTCCAGCTGTGCACCCTTGAAACTCAAGACTGGAGGACTCAGCACTGGCATCTGATGCTTTGGACTCACTTAAACACTGTCAGAGATGCTCACGTGGCTGTGCCTGACTTTAAGGGGCCAGGGATGTGAATTCCTCTGCATAATCAAAGTAAAAGAGAACTGGGTATTGCTGAGTGTTAGTAATGTTTACCACACTAACCCATTTATGAGACAGACCTGCTTCAAATTCTCTCTTGTGAGGAGTCAGGATATGGATCCATAAATAGAAAGATTTCTTTGTTTCATTGCTTGATGTTCTTTTCACTCTATTACAGTGTTCTATATCAGGCTGGCAAACATTTTCCTAAAAAGGGTCAGATACTAGATACTGTAGACATACCAGACCGGAAATAATCTAAGTTGCATAACCTACCTTCTTTTTCTCTCTCCCTCCTTCCCTCTTTCCTTCCCTCCCTCCTGTCTCTCCTTCCCTCTCCTTACTTCTCCTCTCCCACCCTCTTCCCTCTTTTCATCTCTTTCTCCATTTGGAAATCATTCCTCAGTGTTGGTGGCAGGTTGGGGGTTGGTGCATATACAAATACGCCCGGAGCTGGGCAGGTTTGGGTCAGACAGATTTGCCCATAAGGTGTAGTCCTGTAGGAAAGAAAAGTATCTGTTTTCCTCACTTGAAGCACTACAGTTTGCTTGTAAACTGTGTATACTTCATCTATAGCTTTGGGGCTGAACAGAATGTGTGTGGGATCTTCTTTGGTACGTGACTAGAATAGCTCAAAGATAAGTAACCTTGGAGAATTTATTTAACTCTCTTGGAGTGTCACATTTTCAATCTATAAAATAATGAGGCAGGATTAGATGATTTCTAACTTCCTTCCCAAATCTGATCTTTGGAGTGGGCCTGAAACCCTTAGCCAGGCTTAAGTGGAACCAGGCCCACCTTCCAGGCAGGGTGTTGCGTTCTCTTTTTTCTCTGGTGCACTTTTTTAGATGCTACCTTTGGTGAATTTCCTGATGGAGAAAAAGTATTATGTTCGCTCAGTGTCAATTTGGAGTGTATGTATAATGTGTATTTTATATATTTTTCTCCCTTTCACCAAGGTTGTCAGCTTTTGTTTTAAGATGTTTCCTTGAAGCTGATCCTTACATAGATATCGATCAGAATGTGTTACACAGAACGTTTAATTGGCTCAAAGGACATCAGAAATCCAGTGGTGAATTTTGGGAGCCAGGAACAGTGATCCATAGTGAACTTCAGGGTGGCAATAAGAGTCCAGTGACACTCACAGCCTATATTGTGACTGCTCTCCTGGGATACAGAAAGTATCAGGTACTTCATCTTTAATAAATGACAGGTGCGAAAGCCAAGGAAGGCAGATCTTGATGGGTCAAATAATGTGTCTGGAACTTTTAAAGGGTCTTGAAATTTTATATTGCATTTGAAATCTAAATTTGGGTACCCTCTACTTTGTATTTATGGCCACATTTCAAAAGCCGAGGATAAAAATATTAATTTACTCCGCAGAGTAATAAGAGGATTCTAAAATGCTTTATAATATAGATATTGTACCTGTTACTGGTAACAGAAGTCAAGACATATTTTATTATTGCTAGAGGAAAGATGATTTTTCAGCGTTTGAAATGTTAAAAGGTAGTTTCTTTTAAAAGTGGCTCCCCAGCCTACAGCCATACCACCCCGAACACACCCATCTCGTCTGACCTCAGAAGATAAGCAGGGTTGGGCCTGGTTAGTGCTTGGATGGGAGAAATGGCTTGCCAGTCAAAAGTATTCCAGGTCCTTCTTGCCTGGACCAAGAACAGAATGAGATAAGCCAAAAAATGGTGCCAAATGTTTATTTGAAAAGTGTGCACATGGGAAGGGGAGCAAGGGAGGAGGGAGGAAGAAAGGAAGGGACAAGAAAAAAGAGAAAATAGGAAAAAATGGAAACAAAGCTTTTGTACATAAGGGAGGGGAGTTGGCTTGGGGGGATGGGATAAACTAAGATAAAATTTATTAAAAAAAATAAAAGTGAAGGTTGAGTGGGTATGGGAGAAACCAGCTCTGTAGAGTGAACGTGGGCTCTATAAAGAGAAAAAGAGTAAAAGCAAAAATAAAAGTACATGCCACCTCTGAAATGTGGCGCAGGCTATCCTGGTAACTCAGGATAGGATTTCCCTGATGGTCCCTGTTCTTTTATGCCATCCGCATCTCGTGAGAGTTTTTGAGAAGTCCTACATACAGGGTCCTTGTATTGCCCTGGAATCTTGTAATTATTTGACAGGTCCTGCTCATTTCCCCAGCCAGTTTTGCCACACCTTATCTCCTATATCGAGAACACGTTCCAGCAAGTTGAGGTTGTGAAGGATGTATATATATTTTTTTACATTTCTAAAGTATCTTGGAACAATTGCAGTGTCTACTAATTTGGTGCAAAGTACACGCACTCTCTGAAAAGCCTGTTACATGGGCATGGGTGCCGGGGTGAAGATGAGTATGCTTGGAAAACTGTGCTCACGATCCTAATTGTGTTCCAGAGCTGTCCCAGGGTTTGATACCTGTTTACTTAACCTGCATTTTACAGGGTCAACTCTACTAAGCTCCTACTCTTTTAGTACCCCAGCACTGGGCTCACTGAAGATAAACTTTTCTCTGAATTTACAGGTTGAAAATCTGAGATTAAATGTAAGGAATGTCTTTCTCAAGCTAGATTTTCTGATTTCATCTGATTAATGGTACTCAATGGGATAAACTGGGAAAATCTACATTTTTTTTCCTTATTCCATCTAAAGAATGGGGTCTGTTTCATTCTAATTGAAAAGCAGTATTATTTTCAAAATGCATGGGAACTCTTTAAATATCAATGTGTGTTGTTAATTTTCACTGCCCTAGGGCAAGGTAGGTGCTTATCACACACTGAAATTACTTTTTGAGTGAATGTTCTTATTTTCTGAATGAATGTTTAAGGTACTTTTTGTTTCAATGTGAACTAATGGATTCTTTTGAATAATAAAGTATGTATCTTTTTCTTCCAAGCCTAATATTGATGTGCGAGACTCTATCAACTTTTTGGAGTCTGAGTTCAGTCGAGGAATTTCAGACAATTACACTCTAGCCCTTGTAACTTACGCACTGTCAGCAGTGAGGAGTCCTGTGGCGAAGGAGGCTTTGAATGTGCTGACCCAGCGCGCAGAGGAGGAAGGTAACATGAGGACCGGGGTGAGGCTGATTCTTAACTATTAAGGGTTACACAAATAAGCCAGCTATGAAGTGGATTGTATTACATCTTTGGAAAGCGATGAAAAATGAACAGCACAAGGAGATCAGGATGGGCTTCTGGTTCCTATGCCTAAAGCCTCCCTGGGAGTTTTGTACAGAATTGCACACCTAGGAGTCTCCTCCTTTTTTTTTTTTTCCTGGTACCGGGGTTCGAACTCAGGACCTTGTGCTTGTAAGGCAGGCGCGGTGCCACTTAGCTAAATCCCCGGCCCTGGAGTCTCCTTCTTTAAGACATGTTCGGCATTACATAGTGACTCTGAGTTTCTGATGCCATTTCTGATTTGATAGTCTTTTGTGTTCCTGAAGACCTTGGGTTCCTGAGGACTTGGGTTCTAATTCTGTTTCTGAAGGTTGCCTTTCCAAGCTTCAGTTTCCCTGTCAAGCATAGTAACACCTATGTCAGGGTTGCTGTGAGAATTAACTAAGGTAATGTGCAGAACCTGCCTCATAGCAGGTGCTCAAAGATGGGATCTAAATGCAGATATCAAAAAATGCTGCTACTAAGTAGGTTGTGTGTGTGACTCTTTTTTTTTTTTTGGATCGGGAACTGCTTTTGGGTTACAAAAGGACATAAAGCATAGGTACAGGTAGTCCCAAAATGATCTCTGTAAAGTAGCCAGGGGTCTGAGTGTGTGTTTGTATGTGTGTGTGTGAAAGAGAGGCTTTAGATGGTATCCTCTGATTCAAAGTTCTATTCATTCAAAGGGTAACTGTAGAAAGTGCTTGGAGGTGTGAGACTATTAACAGGAATTTAGATAGAGTCCTTATTCCATATCCCTGTGCTGAGGACTGGATCCTTACTGCAGAGGCCCAAGTGATCCTTGGCTTTGTGGGATGTCACATTACAGCCAAGCGCAATCACCGTCAAAGTCCTGGGGGAGCCACATGGGATGGTGGTCTGGGGTCAGAGCAGGATTATCTCCAGGAAGGTTGGCCACTTGGCTAGGGACCCTCAGGTTTTGTGAGGGGTGTGCTTGAATTTTTGCACTTATAACATCAACTTTCAGACAATGAAAAAGGGAGCAGTTTCTCAGAAAGTGAGAGCTGGTTAGTGGCAGATCCCAGGACAAGATTCTTTCCCATCTGTCGTAAACTATTTTGGGAAGGACAGGCTCAGATAAGTTATATACATTATTTTTTGAAATATAGTATGCTTTTCTTTTTATTTATGACTGTTTTGTCTTGAGCCAGATGTGGAATTTCTCCTGGGAAAAATATTTTAATCAAAACCTCCCAAATACAGGCAATAGGAAGAGGATGAAAATTTATAAATTGTAGCAGTTTGAAAAGTGACATATATAAGTGAATGTTCCTTTGTGTGCATACGGTGTGTGTGAATACTCATATCCTCGCTTGGTGTATGTGTATACACAGATAAAATGTGTTTTCATGCAAGTCAAAGAGAGCTCGGCTGTGCAAGGCTGTTTCATGGTGTGACCTGTGATTTTAGGGCCACTGAATCCTGTTACCTTTCTCCTTCAGGAGGTGAGCGGTTCTGGGCATCCCCCACATCCACCCTGTCCCAGGGCTGGCAGCCACGCTCCCTGGACATTGAGGTGGCGGCCTATGCACTGCTGTCCCACTTCCTGCAGCTGCAGGCTTCCCAGGGCATCCCTATTATGAGGTGGCTCAGCAGGCAGAGAAACAGCCTAGGAGGGTTTGCATCAACCCAGGTGAGAGATGCAGTCAGTTTTCCCATTTACACTATGTACATGTGTATTTTTAGGGTTTTTATGGCTTCTTTTTTTTTTCATGGCTTTGTAAAGTTACTTAGCAGTTTATAAGTTGAGTAACTTAAAGATTTAAAGCAGTAACCTACATTTTTTCTTATATGAATTTCCTGTCTGATACTTACATGGAGTCAGATTGCTGTCTGTGGCAGCTACTAGGCACCTCTGGAACTGATTTCAAGTGGATCCTCAGGTCCACGTGCAGAACCTTCTGAGCCTCTTGTGTGCTTTGCACCAAGGAATTTAAGGACCTTCAGGAAGGTCCGCTCTTGAGGAGGTGGTGAGCATAGAGCATGTTCTGGGCATTGATGAGCTTGCTTCTGGGAGATGTTGATATATATACCTGTGGGCACAATCGGTTTTCTTCTCTCAACAGGACACTATCGTGGCGTTAAAAGCCTTGTCTGAATTTGTGGTCCTAATGAATACAGAAAGGGCAAATATCCAAGTGACAGTTATGGGGCCAAGCTCACCACATCCTGTGAAGTTTCTGATCAACACACATAACCGCTTTCTCCTTCAGACAGCAGAGGTGTGGAAAATGATTGTTATTTAAAATCTATGTGGATGGGTCTTTATACTGGAGCTCACCTGCCCTTCCTTCCTTCCTTCCTTCCTTCCTTCCTTCCTTCCTTCCTTCCTCAGTACTGGGGATTGAACTTGTGATCCTCCTACCTCAGTCTCCTGGAGTGCTTGGAATACTGCTTTATTTCTAATCTACTGACTTCAGCAAAGACTTGTTCCCAGAGCTGTAGAGAGACAGGCAGTGAGGGGTAGGGATGATCTCCTGTGGTTAAGTTTGCTGATCTCAGTATGGGTGGAGGGGATGGGACCTTTTCCGGTGGGAAGGAGAAGGCACTTTCATACTGGGATGGGAATAACCCCTTCCCTCCGGCAAGTTCCTGTTCTTCAGGACCACCATGCTAGGTTGCTTTATGTAAGGAATTACATTTACTTCTCAAGCCAACTCTAAGGTAAATACTTTTGAATTAAAAGTATTTAAATATTAATTTAAATACTTTTTCACCATTGAATACATAGACTGAGCCTGAGAGAAGCAGGTAACTTGTTTCAGGTCATGTTTCTAGAAATGGGAGAGCTGGGATTTAAATCCACGGTTCCTCTTTTTATTTGCATCACATAATCTGAAAAAATTAATAGAAGCAGTAGTAGAATTCTTGCTTTAAAGTGGAATAAAAGAATATGCTTATCCCTAACTTTATTCTCTTAGCTAAACTTAGGGGAATGTGGATGGATTGTGGATGAATGGATGAATGTGACAGCTTCAAGGTTTGAAACCGAGGAAGAGGGTGATGGCAAAGGACAAGGAGGAAAAGCTAGGCACAGTCCTAATGCGGTGTCCCTGTTTTCCCAGGAGGGCCAGAGGGTCAGCCCAGACTAAGGGAGCCTGGGGGAATGTGTGGCTTTTGTTTTGTGTCTCTCGTGCTTTGACCCTAGTGGAAGGACATGCAGTGAATAGTGCTGACAGGCCTTGTCTCCCAAAGGGCAGAGGCGAGCAGATCAGAGAGGTAACTTCTCTGCCCTCACTTCCCTTAGCTGCTTAGCCATTGCTCTGACCTCTAAGATCACCAGAGCTCCACATTCTCCACAAGCTGTTTCCTCCTAATGAGGGTAGCCCTGTTCTCTTGTGCTTCTTGGAAGGATCTAAGTATGGAAAACTGGCCTCATTCATTCTTTTCTCCCACTTTTATTCAGCTAGCTGTAGGACAGCCAACTGCAGTTAATATAACCGCGAATGGTTTTGGATTTGCTATCTGTCAGGTATGTAAAATGCTTGTTTTTTCAGTTATACATGACTTTTTATAATCATTCTTTGTTTTAGGGCATTGCTAAATCCTTACCTTAGAAAATTTATATAAAATCCTTAGTGATCTATTTTTATGACTGAGAAGAGTTATATTACTCTCTTTAATAAAAAGTACTGGAGCTGCTGGGCCTGGTGGCACATGTCAGTAATCCCAGAACTCAGGAGGCTGAGGCAGGAGGATCACTATGAGTTTGAGGCCAGCCTGGGCTACATAGTGAGACCCTGTCTCAAAAATAACAACAACAACCATGACAAAAAGTGTTAGAGATGCTACCAGCTAGTGAGTAAGCAGCAGTTCTATATATTGATAATCTATTTGAAAAATATTTTAGGGGGATTATTCACATTTTGAAGCGAGGGTTAAAATCCTCCAATATGATTCATGTGAGTAGTTGGGAGCTGTCACTTTTTTGTGTGAAAATAAGTTCAGAAATTGTAATGCTTGTGGAGTTCTTACTATTACCTGAAAAACAAATATACATTTTACTTGCAGATTCTTAATATTTATCTAAGAATATAAATATCAGTGTGACCTTACAAATTATTGTCTTGAAGATAGAAAATGTGTTCCTTTAATTTAAAACCTTATAAAATAGAAAAATAAGACAGATCATAATTATGTTCAGTGCCCTGGTACAGGAAGAAAATCCAAAGAAAACTACATTTTATGATATAGTAGGTGCTACAACAAAATAGAAGTAGTATAAAAGTACTTATTGGAAATCCGAAATAGTATGTAATAGGACCAAAAATAATTATGTACTTGGGTATTAAAAACAAACAAAAAAGACCTCAACAAACCTTGAAACACTGACTCAAAGTGCCTAAATGGCTGTTGTGGAGAAGGGGCACTTTTCAAAAACTTGCCAGTTATTCTAGTGGAGATACAGGGGCTCTGCTGGGTCAGGCAGGTGTGCCTTGCTAAGCAGGACTAATTTGGAAACTTGCAAATAATTTTGATTGTTTTGCATGATATTCAAATAACAGTAGGCCAGAAGTTTAGCTCAGTGGCACTGCGCCTGACTCACAAGTGCAAGGTCCTGAGCTCAATCCCCGGTACAAAAAAAAAAAAAAAAAAAAAATCAAATAACAGTAAACATTTGTAAAGATTAAGGAAAATCATAATACTGAAAATGAGGGGGATTCCATGAAAAGGACAGAATGAATATTTTGTATTGGTTTTTACTAACACAGACTATGGGAAAATCGTCATCTCCAAGCTTTTAATGAAGAGTAAACCCAGAAGTAAAGACACGGTATACTTTAAATACCATTGAAAATCATATATATGTAATTCATCAAATTGGCCAGAATTCATTTTTGGTAAACCAAATGTAGATAAATCGCTGAGAGTAAATGATTATTGCTTGGGGTAAATGTGATATGCATGTGTCAGAACGTTTACTAGTCCCAGGTTTGTATCGAAGTACAGAAAACAGCAGGACCAACAGGCACCTCCCATCAGGGAGGAAAGGATTGCAGAGATGTTGGTTGCCCAGAAATGGGTAATGACTTTTTCTTAGGGTGATATTTTTATAAGTGCGCGGGAAAAGGAGGGCAAAGAAAACTCAGGTTTGCAGTAAACGTGAACTTCTTTTGGGTAATAAAATATTAAGCTGTTGGAAATAAATTGCAAGATCTCTTGAGGTTCTTCAATGGAGAACTTGAGCTCTACTGTGGACCAGATATAAACCCCATTGCTTACGTGTGGATGGATATGAATTATGACCCAAGGGACAAACTAGTAGCCCTTACTGCATGTCACCAGAAAGGAGGTGATGACAATAGCAGAGACTGTATCTCTTCAGTTTTATGAAACCATTCTCCGGCTACTCCAGGAATAAGTTAAATTATTCCTAAAAGTAATACTTACTAATTAATTTTTATAGTGTAAGAAAGAGCTGGAGAATGTCCATAGTAAGATAAACAGAATGGTCCAGGGGATGAAAGCTAATATGAGTGTGGGCTGATGCAGAATATAATGATTAGAACTCTTAGACTGAAATTTAGTTAGAGGATTTTTAAAAGGGTATAAATGTGCTAGATGGAAAGGTGCTAGATGTTTACTTCTGAGGGATGTGTGTGTGTTTTAAGTAGAAGTAAAAAAACTCTACATAGCAATATTTAAAATTAATTTTATTGGTACATTTAAGAGATAAAATATAATGACATTCATCATTGGAAATTTGCACCTTTACATAATCCATCTTGATTCTTATTTTTTCCCCATTCCCGTGCCCTTCCTTCAACCCCTCCATCCCTCCCTCCCTACAAAGACTTTGTTTACATTTTTTCTTTTTCTCATATTAATTCCATTCTCTTCTTTCTTTTCCCAGCCTCTTCCCACTTTACCCTCCCCTTTGTGACTTTTCTTCCTATTTCACATTACCCATTATATGTTTTAGTCCTTATTTACATTTTCAGTTTCTCACACTGGAGAAACTATTCGGTATTTACACACGTGTGTCCCATTTATTTCACTTAAGAGTATCCCCTCAGTGTGCATCCACTTAGCTATAAATGTCTCTAGTTTCTCATTCTTTATGGCTGAATAGTACTCGATTTTATAAAAAAACCCACAATTTCTTTATCCAGACTCCAGTTGGTGGGCAATTGGGTTGCTTCCAAGTTTTAGCTATCACGAATTGTGTTGCTGTGAACATGGGTGCACATATATCACTGTGGTATGATTCTTCTGATTCTTTGGAGAAGATACCCAGCAAGGGAATAGCTGGGTCAAATGGGACTTCCAGTCCTAGTTCTTTGAAGTATCTCCATATTGATTTCCACAGTGGTTGCACCAGTCTACACTCCCACCAGCAGTGGAGCAGGGTTCCTCTT